GACCTTTATCACAATATGCTAATTTTTTTAGAAGGACCTGTATATGGTATGGTATAAAGTTTATTAATTTTAAAAAAGTACAAAACAATTCCATAACAATATAAAAAGATACAAGAGATTTAAAATGAAAGGCAGCAGAAAGAACAAATCTTATTATATCTGCTCCTTTTTTCAAACAATTATTTCAATCATAATAATTTTCAAGTTACTGAACAAAATCAATAACTCTTTCTAATTTTTCTAATTCTAATACAAAACACACACTAAGATGCTTCACATGTATTTTTTTAACAGTCCAGTTTTGATCTTATATATAATGTATTATATATATTATTAACATTTTGTCAGCCTGCATGCTTCTGACATTCCAACAGGGGGTTGTCTTGAAACTCAGCAGTGAAGGCTTCTTATGGGACAGATCTGGTTGGCAGGCCACAGACTGATGAAGTCCTCTGGATGGAAGACGAAACGTTTCTTCCTTAAAGAAACTGGTGCAGATGACATGGTTCAACTTTTTTTTAATATTGTTTGATACATTTATCAGACTTGTTTTATATGAACACCAAAAGGTTTTTGTTGGATAATTTCATGACCTTTCATCAGCTCATGAATCAAATAATCGTCAGTGTGAGAAGATGTTCTGCACCACGTGTTGGTTGCACGGCAGCACCACGTGTTGGATGACGCACACGGCACAGCTCTGCCTGCAGCTTCAGGGCCTTGAAGTTCATCAGAGGCTCTGTGCTCCTGCAGGCTCCTCTCTGTTCAGACAAACAGCTCTAACACACACGGTGCTTCATTCATTTAACAAAACATCCATGACCTTTACATCACTTCCCTCAACAGTTTAATCTTGATGTTCATGTTTGAATCTGCTCTTAAATTTGTTAAAAAATATATTTAATATCAGAGGAGGCTGGCCAGATCTGAGGCTGGGCATGCACACGTGCACGCGCGCACACACAGCCTATCGCGTGACAGCACGTGCACGCGCACACACACAG